ATCAATCTATTCAAATTATCCTGGAGTGCTCTAGTGTCCTCATTAGAATGAGTTGGAAAGGCCTATTTTGGTGTCATCAGCAAATTTGCTTATGTCGCTATTTATTCCCTCATCTATGTCGTTTATGTAAATTGTGAATAACAGCGGGCCCAACACTGACCCCTGAGGGACACCGCTTGTGACGTGCCCCCATTCTGATTTCTCCCCATTTATGCAAACTCTCTGCTGCCTATTTGTCAGCCATGCCTCTACCGAGGAAAAAATTTCTCCTCCTATTCCGTGTGCCTTAAGTTTCCTCAATAGCCTCTGATGTGGAACTCTATCGAAAGCCTTACTGAAGTCCATATATACAATATCATATTCATTACCATGATCTACCTCCTCAAACAAATTAGTGAAAAATGTTAGTAAATTTTTAAGACAGGAATGTCCCTTTGTAAAACCGTGTTGAGATTCATTAATCAATCTGTGCCTGTCAAGATGGCTACGAATTGCTTCGGCAATTATTGATTCCATAAATTTTCCCACTATGGAGGTAAGGCTTATTGGTCTCTAGTTCTAAGCCAAGAACCTGTCACCTGCCTTGTAAATAGGTATTACATTTACCATTTTCCACTTATCAGGCACTATGCCAGTTTTTAGTGATATGTTAAAAAGATTAGCCAAAGGTATGCTAAGTTACTCTTTACATTCTTTTATCACCCTTGCAAACAGTTCATCAGGGCCTGGGGATTTGTTAGGTTTTAGTTTCTCTATTTGTCTGAGGACCATGTCACTAGTTACCGCAATCGTGCATAGTTTATTATCCTGTTCTACATAATCTATTATTTCAGGAATATCACTAGTATTTTCCTGGGTGAAAACTGAAAGTAGGTATTGAGAATTTCACACATATCCCGATCACTCTCAGTGATCTGACCACAGTTACTCTTAAGTGGGCCACTCTTGTTTCTAATCTTACTTCTGTATACCTGAAAGAACCCTTTTGGGTTAGTCTTTGAATCCCTTGCGACCTTAGCCTCATAATCCCTTTTTGCTTTTCTTATTCCTTTCTTTATTTGTCTATTGATATCTTAACTGCCCATCCCCTCTTTTGATACATCTACAGGTGCCTCTTTTTTGACCAATGAGATGTTTTAATCTATTGTTCATCCATTTGGGATCATTTTTGTTAGATCTAATTTCCCTACTCGGAACAAAAGTTGTCTGGGTAGCTAGAACTATGCTCTGAAAAACGTCATATTGGCAACCAAGATCACCTACCTGACCCATAGTCAGGACATACCAATTTAGCCCACCCAGGCAATTTTTCAGTCCCATGAAGTCGGCCAAGCGAAAATCTAGGACAGAGATTTGATTGCAGTTATCTGGGTAATTCCATGATATATGAAACTAAGTGATTTGTGATCACTTTCCCCAAGCTCATCATTAACCTCAAGATTATTAATTAGTGACTCTTTGTTGGCAAGAACCAAGTCAAGCAGATTGTTTCCTCTAGTTGGTTCTGTCACAACCTGTTCTAAAAAGTAATCCTGAACCGTATATCTAGATGCCTTATGAATTTCGTCCCATAACAGCTTACTGCACTCACTATCAAGGTTTAGGGGCCTATAAACCACACCCAAAATTAATTTGTCACGACCCTCGAGAAACTGTAGACAAACAGATTCTGTGTTCGATGTTTCTAATCTTATATCATGTCTAAGACAACAAATTCAATTTTCTCTGACATACATCGCCACTCCACCACCCTGTTGACCCTATCAGTGTGGAAGTTTATAACCCTGTATGTTGCATTCAGAAGGCATTTCTCTATCTTTCAGGTTGAACCAGGTCTCTGTTATACCAATAATATCTATATTACCTACACTTGCAAGTAATCTTAGCTCATCTATCTTATTTCTTAGACTCCTACTATTTGCATAGTAAACCTTAAGGGAGCTAGTCTCTCGTTGCCCTCTGCTATCTCTCTTTGTTGATCAGTTGATTTGCCATTACTAGCAACTTTATTTTGAATATTGTCGTTCAAACATATCCCTGAGGTATCCCAGTAATAACTGCTGTTTTTAACCCTAATTCTGCAGCCTGAATGTTTCCCACAAACACCCATACCTCTATAATCTATCAGTTTAAATTCCTAGACAAGTCATCAATTACCCTCTCAATTGAATTATCTAATGCAACCACTCTATCCTCAGAGAGATGAATCCCATCCCTTGCATACATATCACGTTTGCCAAAGAATAGCTCCCAGTTATCAATGAATGGGATTACAAGTTCCTTGCAGTACCTCTCTAGCCAGCAATTTATACCAATTGCCCTACACATCCATTCATTGCCCACTCCCTTTCTAGGCAAGATGCTACATATGACTGGGATCCCTCCATTAGACCTAACTACTTCTATGGCTGACCTGTACTTATCCAGCAGCTCCTGTCTCCTGCCCTTCCCAATGTCATTCCCCCCAGCACTAAGACAGATAATGGGCTTGTTCCCATTACCTAACATAATATTATCCAACCTGCTGACTATGTCACCAACACCAGCTCCATGAAGGCACACCCTCTGTCAGACCTTTCTGTCTCTGTTACAAAAAGCACAGTCCATATATCTTACCTGAGAATCTCCTACTATTAAAATATTTTTACCTTGATTAGCAGGGGAATCAGTGGTACCTTCAACCTCACTAACCACTGAAGTGCACTCGTCCTGGAGAACAGAGAATCGATTTCCTACCTTCACATTTTCTCTGTTAACCCTCATCTTCCTTCTTCCTGAACTGTGAACCACTTGCCACTTAAAGCAGCTGCCACTATCACTGCTAGTGACCATTTCCTCCTTACCAGCTAAATCCTTCTCACACTCCCAGACTCATCTAGGCGTAGCTTCAGCCTCCTATTTTCCTCCTGAAGAAGTAGAACCTCCTTCTTCAACACTTTAACCTGAGATTCTAAACACTACAACAAGCCATGGTGCTTGGTAACACCCCACGCTAACTCCCAGAGCTTAGGACACATATGGCCGCAGGTGACCACTGACTTCAGCGTAAGTAATAATAAAAATATTGAGCAAGCGGTAAACCCGTACGAGTGACAAAGGTCTGGGTTGGTTGGGATGTTTGAGCAGTTGGAGTCTTGGAGGTTATGGTGTTGAGGGTTAGTTCCAGAATATGAGTGTTAGTTGGTGCAATAGATTAGTTTTCCATACAAGTTATACTGCACATGTGCAACATCTGGTTATCTTTATTGTCGACGTTTCGCCAGCCAGTGGTTTTATCAGTACAAATTCAGTGACATATTGGAAGACAGTAGCACTATATACAAAAGATGAGGTAATCAGTGCCTCAGCCTTGGCGTTGGTGTGAAGAGCACCGTAGTCGTGAAGAATCTGGAGTACAGGCAAAGTTAGGTTAGGTAAGGTTCATAAGGAAACAGGACAAGAGTTTCCTGACGCTTGTCTTAGATGATGACCCCTCCGTTGGAGCTTTTGGTTATCTGACCGAGGCCTTCTGCTGGCTTACCTCTCCCCCCCTTTAAAAATTATGGTCATAATTATAACCATTTAGTTAGCACAGGCAAGAGGGCTGGCGCTCTTATACTTGCGTCAGGTGGCAAGGGACGTGTAGCAGACGAAGACTTTGTCACCGGTAGGCGGGATTCCCCAGTGGAAGTAGGTTATACTCGTGGGACGGGTTAGTGGTAGTGAAGAAGGTTGTGGTGACGTCCTTTGAACCAAAGATTCCAAGATGTTGCAGTGCCTGACAGGTTGTTCATGAATGTTATACAGTACCGACAAGATGAAAATTAGAGACATGTGCAGCATCTGGGTAACTTTATTGTAGACGTTTCGCCATCCAGTGGCTTTATTATTACAAACTGACGCCAATTTATAAGCGCCAACCTTCTTGCCTGTGCTCCAGATTCTTCACGACTACGGTGCTCTTCACACCAACTCCAAGGCTGAGGGACTGATTATCTCTTCTTTTGTTTATAGTTCTTCTGTCTTCCAATTACGTCCTTTAATTTGTATTGATTAAACCACTGGATGGCGAAACGTCTACAATAAAGATACCCAGATGTTGCACATGTGTCTAATTTTCATTTTGTCGGCATTGTATACCATTCATGCACAAGTTATACCGCACCTGGACAAGGGAAGGCAGTCTGGTTTGATCCATGGAAGTGAGAGTTGTTTCAGTTCTTTGTATTAAGTCATTCTCCACCATTATGGTGGTGTGTGTGTGTGTGTGTGTGTCTGTGTCTTATGTGTAGGCCTACTGCCGTATTCCATAATTTTTTATATTACCTTTTTTATTAGTTTTATTTGCCTGTTCTTTACAGAATTACCTGAATACTTTCCTTAGTTTTGTACGACCAATCCAGATTTAGCATTTTTTTTTGTGGACAGTAATGTATAAATAATTGTTACTCAAGTGGTCAACAGTATTTTTGTGATAAGTTACTACAATTGTACCTTAATGTTGTCAGTACCTAGTGATCTCATACCTTCCTCCCTATCACTGTTATTTATGGCATCAGTGTCCTAGGACTGATTATATCCGATTACATGTGGGAGGTCGAGGGTCAGTCCCTCATGTTAGGATCGAGCCTCAGTAATTTCACACAATTAAACACTTGCGCTTTTTAAAAATATGCCAAAATAAAAAAAATGTAATATTTGAATTATATAAAATAAAGTAAAAGGGGATGCCAGCTGAGGTAGCCTAGTGGCGAGAGTCGCGGCTCTTGTCACACCGGTTATGGGTTCGATTCCCGGCCGGGAAAAAGATAAAAACTATGATGTTTCAGTTCATCCTAGTCCAAGAAGTAGTAATGGTCCTGGACGGACTGAAAAGCTGTCTAGCTTTTATTCTAATTCATGAATTATTTAGTCAGTCATGTGCAATATTCACAAAAACGCTAAACCCATACTGATAATTTAGCTCTGCATTGGTCTTGAGTACTTTTTTTTTGACTCATGATCGTCGTGCCTACACACAGAGTGACCGGACCACCATCCACAAGAACCTGTGTGTGTGTTTGTTGATCGCTGAGACGGTGTTCCTGGCGGGGGTGAACCAGACGGACAAGCCGGTGGCCTGCGGGGTGGTGGCTGGCCTCCTTCACTACTTCTTCCTCGCTGCCTTCGCCTGGATGTTTATGGAAGGTGAGCAAACCCACTTGGAACCTCTGCTTTCCCGGGAAGTGCAAAGAAATTCTGTTGTATGGCCCGTGGTACACACGAACACTGTCCACGGTCCACACAAACACGGTCCGTGGTCCACACAAACACGGTCCGTGCCGTGTAAAAGCCTGTGGTGGTAGCAGTAGCAGGAGGTGGGGTTGTGTTGCTTAGAGACGATGTGCAACGTTTGCCCACATGTCAAGGCTTGTCACCCACATTTACTCTCCACACCCAACTCTCTCTCGTCCGCCTACACCTGAAGGAACCCACCAGCGCCGTGGAACGTGCTCCTTGCTCCGCCTTGCGTTCCTCCCCATCCCCCCCTCCCGCACCATACATACCTACATCTTGATTTTTTATGTTTGTCCTAGTAAAGCTATTTTACTGGGCACCCCTTACTGTAAAACCTGTGCAGAAGAGCGTCAAAATAAACACTGGAAGTGACAAGAGGAAGGAAATGAAACATCCTGCTTGTGGCTGTGACTGTGGTGTCACACACGTCAAATTTTGCACATACCTTACTGACATATGATTTTAATGTGTTTTTTTTATAGTAATAATACCTAAAAGACTTAGAAAACTTTCACTTCACGAGTATCACAATAAAATTTAGTGACATGAAGGGTAAGATAACAGCTATCAATGTGTTTGTAGTTGAAGCAAAGTTGTGTGCATTTCTAATTATTTAATACCAGTCCAGAGGTAAGACGTTGAGTGATAGTATGATGTATAGTGTCGTGGTTTGAGTAGCTTTTTTCCTTACCCGGAATATTATCCACCAGTAGATACCCAGCTTTTCCTTAAAGCCTGGAAGTATTTGAAGTTTCCTATTAGTGTCAAATATCCAGGTACCAGCACCTCCGCCACTGCTGTCACCCCTCCTCTTATCTCCATGTGCTAGCACCGTCACTGATTCTCCGGTATCTCTGGGTACAGGGTTCCAGTTGTACGTGATGCTGGTTGAGGTGTTCGAGTCAGAAAAGCCGAGAGCACGATGGTACTATGCTGCCGCCTACGGCTTCCCGGCGGTGGTGGTGGCAGTGAGTGCCGTTGTTGACCCCTTCAGCTACGGTACTCGTCAGGCATGCTGGCTACGCACAGACAACTACTTCATCTTCGCCTTCGTCGGCCCCGTCATCGCTGTCATTATCGTAAGTATTGAGGATCTTGATTGTGGGGGAGTCCTGTGTAATTACTGAGGACTCCTTTTCGTGGATTAAGGGCTAGGTTACTTAGCTGTGTAATGCTAAGGACAGTTCTTCTTGGGTAGCGGGTATAAAGTAATCATCTCTTTAGCTGTTAATTAGCATGGCATCTCTTAACCTGTGAATTTGACCATTCGTACTCGCATTTACAGAGCGATATGAAGTGTAAATACACAGACATATGTGGTAAAAAAAAATTATGTTCATTAATGATACCGGAGATCATCGCCTCTGCGGTCCGGTCTCGGACCAGGTTTACTGGTTAACGGTCTGGTAAGTTTGGATGTTGGTGCTTAGCGCATGCATTCCAACGTAGGAGCCACAGCTTGGTTAATCGGAAATCATTTATACGAACTAGTCAAGTTCCCTCTTGAAATAAAGGATAGTTGTGAAAAGCCTTCGACTCGTGTATCATGCTTATTGAGTTATCTCTTAAATGTACTTATTACACCCTGCTTTCCATAGGGCATTTTGTTCAGTCTATCATGCCTCCTGCTCTCCTAAAGGGTTCTTTCACTGTGCAAATTTGGAACTAGTAACTAGTATTTTACAGGTGTAAATTAGATCTTTCTCGCTTGCGCTCCAGGGAGTACAATTTGAGGGAATTTAGCATCCCCAATAATTTAGATGCTTAAATTGATAAGGGCAGTAAAAGTAGTAGGTTGGTAGAGAGCAGCCGTCCAGGGAGGTACTACCGTCTTGTCGTACGAGTGAGATATGGAAACTGCTTCAGTGTTTTACACTGACAGGATTGCTGTTTTTTTTACCTTTCTGTCTTTTGAACACGTAAGATGACAGATAATTCTTACAAACTTCTTTTCACATTCATTATACACTTATCTTAATACACTTTCTTAATAGTTCACTATACACTTTCTTAACAGTTCTTATTTCTGTAATATTTACTTAACGATTTAAAAGGCTTGATTTTAGTAGGTTGTTGGGGGCGATTGTTTCCGGAAATGTCAAGCGATGACCGATATAGTTCTGCAGTTCGTTGTTTGCGGTTTGTAGGTACTAAAGTAAACGAGAACTGTTCACAAATCATCACAGCCCCTAGTTGGTGCTGGCTCTTGTGGTGCTGGAGATGTGTTGATACTCGTGCCGATGCACGCACGCACGCTGAGGAAGGTTTGTACCCAAGGGTAACAGAAATAACGAGAAGGCCAGGATGAGCCCTTGGTTCACTGAAAGGTATAAAGAGGCCAAAACCAAGTGTGCTACAGAATGGAAGAAGTATAAAAGGCAAAGGACCCAGGAGAATAAGGAGAGCAGTCGTAGAACCAGAAATGAATATGTACAAGCTGTTGTACAGCCATATCAGGAGGAAAACAACAGTCAAGGACCAGGTAATCAGGCTGAAGAAAGAAGGGGGTGGATATCACAAGAAACGACCGAGAAGTTTGTGAGGAGTTCAACATGAGATTCAAAGAAGTGTTCACAGAAGAGACAGAAGGGTCTCCGGAAAGACGGAGAGGTGGGGTACACCATCAACTGTTGAACACAATATATACAACCGAGGAGGAAGTGAAGAGGTTGCTAAGCGAGCTAGATACCTCAATGGCAATGGGGCCGGATAACATCTCTCCATGGGTCCTGAGAGGGAGCAGAGGCGCTATGTGTGCTACTAACAACAATCTTCAACACATCTATCGAAACAGGGTGACTACCTGAGGTATGGAAGACAGCAAATGTTGTCCCAATTTTTTATAAAAGGAGGCAGACACGAAACATTAAACTACAGACCAGTGTCATTGGCATGTATAGTATGCAAAGTCATGGAGAAGATTTTCAGAAGAAAAGTGATGGAGCACCTAGAAAGGAATGAGCTTATCAGCGACAACCAGCACGGTTTCAGGGGCGGGAAATCCTGTGTTACAAACCTACTGGAGTTCTATGACAGGGTGACAGCAGTAAGACAAGAAAGAGGTGGGTAGATTGCATTTTCTTGAACTGTAAGAAGGCTTTTTGACATAGTTCCACAAGAGATTAGTGCATATGCTGGAGGACGAGGCAGGGAAGACATCAGCGAACCATGTACGTGACGCCTGTGACGAGCGGGGTTCCACAAGGGTCAGTCCTAGGACCAGTGCAGTTTCTGGTATATGTGAACAACATGACAGAAGGAATAGACTCAGAAGTGTCCTTGTTTGCAGATGATGTGAAGTTGATGAGAAGAATTCATTCGGACGAGGACCAGACAGAGGGATCTGGACAGGCTGCAGACCTGGTCCAGCAAATGGCTCCTGGAGTTCAACCTCACCAAGTGCAAAGTCATGAAGACTGGGGAAGGGCAAAGAAGACCGCAGATGGAGTACAGTCTAAGGGGCCAGAGACTACAAACCTCACTCGAGGAAAAAGGTCTTGGGGTGAGTATAACACTGGGCACATCTGAGGCGCACATCAACCAAATAACTGGTGCAGCATATGGGTACCTAGCAAACCTAAGAATCGCGTACCTACCTGGAATCTACCTGGAGGTTATTCCGCGGATCAACGCCCCCACGGCCCGGTCCACGACCAGGCCTCCCGATGGATCAGAGCCTGATCAACCAGGCTGTTACTGCTGGCCGCACGCAGTCCAACGCACGAACCACAGCCCGGCTGATCGGGCACTGACTTTAGATATCTGTCCAGCTCCCTCTTGAAGGCAACCAGGGGTTTATTGGTAATTCCCCTTATGCTTGGTGGGAGGCTGTTGAACAGTCTTGGGCCCCGGACACTTATGGTGTTTTCTCTTAGTGCACCAATGGCGCCCCTACTTTAATTGGGGGTATTTTGCACCGCCTGCCCAGTCTTTTACTTTCGTGAGGAGTGATTTCCGTGTGCAGATTCGGGACCATTCCTTCCAGGATTTTCCAAGTGTAGATTATGATATATATCTCTCTCTCCTGCGTTCCAACGAGTACAAGTTCAGTGCTTCCAAGCATTCCCAGTAGTTAAAGTGTTTGATTGAACTTATACGTGCAGTAAAGGATCTCTGTACACTCTCTAGATCTGCGATTTCACCTGCTTTGAACGAAGATGTTAATTTACAGCAGTATTCCAGCCTAGAGAGAACAAGTGATTTGAAAAGGATCATCATTGGCTTGGCATCTCGTTTTGAACGTTCTCATTATCCATCCTATCATTTTCTTTGCACTTGTGATCGTGACACTGTTATGATCCTTGAAAGTGAGATCCTCAGACATTACTACTCCCAGGTCCCTTACATTATTTTTCCGCTCTATTGTATGGCCAGAGTTTGTAGTATACTCTGTTCTAGTTATTATCCCCTCTCAGTAAGGAATCGTTCATGACCCTGTACACATAGCTTTAAGAAGAGGAATGATAAAGCTCATGGACCAAGAAGAGTGACCTAGTAGCGACCAGTGAAGAGGCGGGGCTAGGAGCTGTGACTTGACCCCAGCAACCACAACTAGGTGAGTCCACACGAGCCAGATGGGTGTTAGAAAATACTTTTTCAATCTCAGGGTGATATTTAAATGGAATGAACTGGATGAAGTGGTAAAGGCTAACTCAGTACAGGATTTGAAGAGTAGTTACGATAGCGCCCATGAGGCCAGGAACCAGTAATGTCGGCGATTGTTGCTTAAGAAGCGGGACCAGGAGCGGAGACTCGACGCCCGCACATACAACTCGGTGAGTACACACACACACACCACACAGGATGGACCGAGGGATCATGGTCAAGTCCCCACCTTGCCACCCCTCACTGGGAGTTTGTTTACCTTCCTGGTGCAGGAAGACATTCTCGGTCTGCAGTAAAAATGTGTGTGTCCTCCTATTAAAGTGACAGAGCCAACATAGCCAGAGCCTGGCTGTACTGACTCAGGTTACCCACCCTCATTCCCTCTCCTCCTTCCCACTTCTCTTTCTCCCTCCTTCTCTCCTGTTATGTTCTTGGGTCACCGTACGAAGTCTGCGTGCTACACTACCTCTCCCCTTGTGTTAAGGTTCTACCGATCAGGATTATACACGATATAAATTACTTCAGCTGCCGAATGTGACTTCGCCCACCGGAATTAAATGTTAAGATTCATGTTTGTGATGGGGTTCACGTTTTGTTTTTGTACTTGACGCGCTCTGCAGTCATGGTCTAGCGTCGCTGATAGAGCACTTGCAGCTAGGACACTCAACAGAGACATACTTGACTGTCCCTGCTGGGATGCTCGGCGGAAGCGTTTAATACTTTTCTTCTAGTTTTCTCAACAGAGGCAAGTTAGACTCTTCCTGCTAGGACACTCAATATTGGCGCATATGTTCACTGAATACCCTGCCAGAAGGGATAAAATATATAAAATTATTTTTGTAAATTACATACAGCTAATGAGAATCACAGAAGATAGAAATAGGCTAAGAGAAGACTTGGGCAGGCTGCAAGGGTGGTGAAAAAAGTGGCTGTTGAGGTTCAACCATAACAAGTAGCCATGAAAGTTGGGAAGGGATAGAGGATAGGCCCCGAGACTTAAGTACATCCCGTAATGTTAAGAAACTAAATATCACGCAATAAAAGATATCGCACCCATTAAAATGTCAGAAATCTCCTCTTAAGTAAAATTAAATTGCATGACTTAGCCTAACAAAAAAAATGTACTAGTTAAAACTAACAGTAAAATTATTTGACAAAGAGCCACAGCGAAACATCATAGTAGCTTAAAACAGAGTATACCTGCATACCAGGAGTCATTATACCAAATAATTGAAGATTGAGATACTTATGCAGCATATGGGAATCTTATTCAGGAATAAGATTCCCATATGCTGCATAAGTGTCTCAATCTTCAACTTGTCGGTTTTTCAAACCATTCATCACATACCAAATAGTGTTATACCATACATCTGAAGTCATCGTAAATCATCACCTCCCCAGTCACTCCCGAGATGATACTATTTCTACTTGCGTCACATTACGATATAGCTACCATATCATAAAATAGCCAGAA